GTTCAGTTACCTGTTCCTAAACAAATGAACAATGTTCAGGCCTGTGTTCCCGAATTTTGGTCATATATTCGGGTGTTCAGTCTTGAAACAATGACGAACAATTTTTATTATTTTTGCCATTTTTTTTATTATAAAGAAACTTACCTTTACAAGACCAATCTCCTCTGAACTAAGAATACCATCAAAGTTATGAACCTTCTTTGAGTTTTTTTTATTATTGTACTCCTCTCATCTCATGGAGTTATGGTTACCAGAAAAACTTCTACTCATTGTCACTTCTAGAGAAATATAGGTAATCAAATGGTTGCCACCGTTACAGCCGGAATATTACCGCCAAAGGATTTTCAAGGTTTTGAGAGTGGGTAGGTTTTGAAGGTGGAATTTGGGAAAGATGGATAGGAGGTGATGGAGATGGATGCTCTCAAAAATCCTAACTCATGATGTAGTAGGTGTGTGGGCTTAATTGTGAGATGGGGTGTTTCAAAACTATTGAAATCTTTTTTAGTAATTTCATTTGAGATTATTATTATAATAAAAAAAGCTAAAAATATGAGATCTAAAATAATTGATAGAGGTACTAATAGTATCACTCTTCATAAAATTACACGTAAGATGATACACAATAAGGCAATAGTGATCTTAAAGAGCCTATGGGGCGATAATATGGCGTCAGGATCCTCTAGAGTGGAGATCCTAGAGTGATCTCTAAAGTGAGGAGATCCAATTGTTGAAAATAAAACTAACCAAAACGACGTCATTTTGGTTAGTAAGTTAGAAAAAAATAAAAAAGAAAGATTTTAGAAAGAGAGAAATAAAGAGTGTGTGAATGGCGAGGAGAGGACAAGATGATGAGAACAAGGTAGGGGCATTCTTCATGGCGACTCTGGTGATGTAGTGTGTGTCTGTGTTCTGCTAAATACTGTTCAACAAGTGCACCGAGCTCGTCCCCATACTTGCTGGGTTTTGCTTTTTCCAGTTTGCCAAATGGGTCATCCGCAATTAGGTCTCGTGATCCACTCTACGTCAACACTTGCATTTCTTTCCTCCATTCCTCCAGTACCTCTACTTCAGGTCCTCTCCCAATTTCTTTCTTTCTTTCTCTACATGTTTGTGTTTATATAATTTATGTGTATTATACTCATTCTCATATGTTTCCTACTCTGTTTTCAACTTTTGATTTGTTTTATTGATTTTTTTGATTGGTTGGTTGGTTGATGTATCTTACTTTTCTTGGGGCAATTGGAGTTCAAGTAGAAGAAGTATAAATCAATGAACTATATAAAAATTAATTTTGACCAAGAAATTTTAGAACAATGAACTTGTGGCTTTGTGACGCTTCGTCGAATAACACATCTTTTAGGGTCCGTTTGTTTTCAGAGATAGAATAGAGGGGATTGATAGTGAGGGGATTAATAGTGAGGGGACTACTAGTGAGGGGACTAAGAAAAATATGTTTGTTTGATAACCAGTGAACTAGTAATAGTTTGTGTTTGTTTTGAGAGATAGGGATGGGATTAACCATATAAAATTACACAAATACCCTTGTTGTATTAGTATTAAATTTAAACTTATACCAACTAATAAATACATTACCTAATTAAACTATTCAAAAATTAAAATTAAAATTAAAATTATATAATTAAAAATAATAAAGAATTCAACTATTAATTTATTATTATTATTATTATTATTATTAAACAAACCATCCAATGGTTTCTCCAAAACCAGCCCATTGTTTTGAAAAAGTGTTCAAAACATTAAGAAAAAGATGTTGCCTTTAACTTTGTAACTTCATCCATGTGAGGCCAACGGTGACGCTTTTACTTTATCCATCTAAGGTCGACAGTGACGAAGAATAAGTTCAAGATCATCAACCTTAATGAGAACGATGATGTTACTTCATTCGGGTATGATTTTTTTTTTCTTGCAAATTTCTGGGTTTGTGGATGAGAACGATGATGTTGTCTCATTTGAACTAATTTTCTGTAAATTCCTGGGTTTGTTGATATTTTCTGAAGATTGAAGGAAGAAATAATGATGGCTTCATTCGGGTATAATTTTTTTTTTCTTGCAAATTTTTGGGTTTGTGGGTTTGTGGATTAGAACAACGATGTTGCCTCATTTGAGCCAAGTTTTTTGTAAATTTCTGGGTTTGTTAATATTTTCTAGAGATGGAAAGAACATTTTTCTGGGCAAAATTGTCATTTACGTTCTAATACCAACGGCTTTATTTCTAATACCAAGTCCGCTGCGCCTTTGCTAATCCCCTCGTTTGAGGGGATTTAGAGTTTGAACGGATTATCACTCCGGTGGCAATTTTGCAAACAAACATGGCATTGTGAATCCGACCTCACTACTAATCCTAATCCCAAGCCTCAACTCGGAAAACAAACGGGGCCTTAGTATAGAGATCACTAACAGGTTCTAGGGAAATCGCTTCTAAAACCCCCCCTCTCTCTATATTTATATATATACAAAGTTCAGTAATAAAAGTATATTTGTATGGTAAGGTAGCTTTGATTTGGTTCCTCCTCCAAAAAGCTTGCTATATGCTCTTAAATGGAGGGAATTTTGAAATCACTTCTTTTTCTTTTCTTTTTTTTCTAACTTACTAACCAAAACGATGTCGTTTTAGTTAGTTTTATTTTCAGCCATTGGATCTCCTCACTTTAGAAGATCACTCTAGGTTCTCCACTCTAGAGGATCCTGACGTGATAATATGATGGGACCATTAGCACGAGAATATGATTTCATCAGGGCAAAGAGATTGGGATAGGTACAACTAGTTTGTTACCAAAAGTTTGTATTTTTTTTAATAATTAAATACCCAGATCAACCTACACAGATAATCTTAAAAGATTAATCTCGCCGCTTACTTACGACAATCTCATTAAAATCTAGACAAACACATATGAACACGCACCTTAAGTTTGTATTTAACACTAAGACTAAGTTTGGCAACTCAAAATAAGTATACACTTTTTATCTTTTTATCTTTTTTTCATCGCATCATCTCTCTACTTTTCTGCATATCTTTTCGCAAAAAGACAAAAAGTACATTTATTTAGGTCATCCCAAACAACCCCTAAAATTATACTTGAAAGCCATGTGACTCTATATTTCATACAATACCTGAATTAACATCTATTTTGACAAGTTAAAAATTAATTTATTGATTTATTGGCTTTTTAAAACTATATCATCTTTCAAATTTTTTATGTAATGAAAAAAAACAACTTTTAACATTTTTTTCGAAAAAATAGACCGAAAAGATAAGTTGCAAGTCTTTTTTGTGTTTATTAAAAAATTTATATCGGAACAATATGTTAGTGTACTAAAATTAAAATGTTATGAGTATTTGATATGTAAATAGAATTAAGGGTAAATTACAGTGACATCCTCTGAGATTTATATTTATTATAATTTCTCTCTTCACCTTTTGAAAATTACATTTTCCCTCATGAGGTTTAAAGTTTCATTACAGATTCCCCCTCAGCAATTTAATTTTTTTAAATACCAATTTTGCCTTCACTGGATAAATTACATTGACACCCCTCACATTTTAGAAATTACAATCCCTTCATAAGGTTTAAAGTAGAAATAACAATTGCCCCCTCAGTTGGAAAAAAAATTCATTGAAAAAAAAATTAATTGGAAAAAAATTTATTTGAAAAAAAAAATTAATTGAAAAAAAAACTGTGTTAGTAAAATTTTTAAATTTTTGTTTAAAAACAATGTAAACTCATTTTTTTGAATTTACGTTTTTTTTTTTTAAATTTACAAACTGAGACAATCATTTATAAACCAAAAAAATTATCAAACAAGTTTTTATGACAGTTTTTTTAATTTTTGTAAATATAAATTGAAAACTGAAAACGAAATGGTTACTAAACAGATCTCAAATGGTAAACATGTCGTAAAATTAACAAATAATTAAATAAGTTACCAACGTAAGAAATGACTTATAAAAAGATTCTTAGATTATGTATGGTTTAATTTTTAGAATTTTTTTTTAAAAAATTAAAAATTAATTTGGTTAAGAAATAAGAAATAAAAAATAATTATCATTTAAGGGTAAAAAAATAATTATAATTTAACTTTTGGGCAGATTATATACTTACGTATGACGGTTTTAATTTAATTTATAAAAAATTATTTCTAACCACGGGAAATATAAAAGTAATATAAAAATGATAATTATTTTTTATTTTTTATTGCTTAACCAAATTAATTTTTAATTTTTAAAAAAAAATTCTAAAAATCAAACCATACATAGTTTAAGAATTTTTTGATAAGTCATTTGTTACATTGGTAACTTATTTAATTATTTGTTAATTTTACGACATTTTTACCATCTGAAGCCTGTTTGGTAACTATTTCGTTTTCAGTTTTCAATTTATATTTACAAAAATTTTAAAAACTGTCATAAAAACTTGTTTAATAATTTTTTTGATTTATAAATGGTTGTCTCAATTTGTAAATTTGAGAAAAAAACATAAATTCAAAAAATGTGCTTACATTGGTTTTTAAATAAAAATTTAAAAATTTGACTAACAAAATTTTTTTTCAATTAATTTTTTTTTTCAAATACTTTTTTTTCCAACTAATACTAACCGAGTGAGGAATTGGTAATGCTACTTTAAACCTTAGGAGAGGATTGTAATTTTCAAAATGTGAGAGCTGTCAAATGTAATTTACCCAGTGAGATCAAAATTAGTATTTAAAAAAATTAAATTGCTGAAAAAGAATCTGTAATGAAACTTTAAAGCTCAAGAGAGATGTAATTTCTAAAAAGTGAGGGAATAAATGTAATAAACATAAGAGTTATGCTAGGGATCTTAAACAAATTATCAAATAAATTACCAAACCTCTCACATGGGTGTGGGACCCATACAAATCACATATGTGTGAGTCCCATACCCATATAAAAAGTTTGGTAATTTATTTGATAATTTGTTTGGGGTCTATAACATTTTCCTAAACATAAACCTCCTCAGGGTGTCAGTGTAATTTACCCTAGAATTAATTACCCCAAAACCAAACATAAGAGGAAAAAGGAAAGAGCTTCCTTCCAGAGAACCCCAATCGTGTTACCAACACACACAGACAATGGCAGCAACCTCATCACCGGCAACAATCAACACCGCCACCGCCACCGCCACCGCCACCGCCACCGCCACTCCCTCCGGCCTCTCCGCCACCACCAACGCCTCCAAGAACCTTCGCGGTCTCAACAAACCCAAGTGCATCAAATGCGGCAACGTCGCTCGATCCAGGTACTTCCAATTCAAATTCAAACCCTAGGGTTTTACTTTTTAAGCTTTTGATTTTCTTTTTGCATAATTAATCGAAACCGCTACGACTTAAACAAACCAATTGCTTATATGCAAGGGCCGGCCTCAACCCATTATTGTAAAAAGTTTTTATTTTTTTATTTTTTTTAAAGGAATGAATTTTGTTCAGCTTGGATCAAAGGTTGTTGAGTTGAGTTTAGTTTGAATTTCTTCATTCATAATACTATGATTTTCCTAATAGTTAGTGGCGTTGTTAAAGAATGTGAGATTAAGGGCTGCTTGTAAAGAAAAATTGATCCCGTATCGGGCGGGTGTAGGGTGGTGACATGATAAGCAACTACTTGCCTCTACCATTCATGCTCAAGTATTCCTAACACTGGAATGTATATTTCATGCAGAAGTGCCCAAACCCTATTTCCATATACATCAATGTCGGTTTTTTATGACTAGAAAACCAACCCAAGGAAGGAAAAATAATTAAAAAAAAGGGAACATAGATAGCTTTCCAGGGCTAAAGCCTGTTGAAATTTCGTATCTTTGTATTAATTATCTGGTGAGGATATGCTGCAAGCCTGCAAATCGGGCTGAAATATTCTTTTTGTGATGTAAGTCATTTTCTCCAATTTTAAAACATCAATCTCCTTTCTATATTGTGCTTTAGTTTTAAGGGACATTACGCACACACATGAGCATAGACGCATAGGTTGGTGGAGGTGGGAGGAGAAGAGGGTGAGCACGTGGAAGGAAAAGAGAGGAATACCCATAACAGACAATGTTCTTTTAGGCTAATCTCTAATGTTAGAGCTAGTTGGAGTTGTACTTGGTGCACAGGGGGTGACTTTAATGTGGTAAGATTTCTTTATGAGACGCTCGGGCATATAATTATGGTGTTGTGAGCTGTTACTAATCCTTGCTCATCACAAAATCAACTTTAGGAAATATTATTCTGAGTTTCCTTGTGTAGTCCTGCATGTGTTTGGTACCGGAGGTTGTCGGAGAGTATTTTCATACACTTGCCTTATAGTTTGATCAGCTTTAAAAAAAAAAAAAAAAAAAAAATTATATTTAAACCCCGTTTATAGAATTTTCTTCTCATGGCACAGATAAAATCTTTTGCAGTGATTGGTGGGTCGCCAACTCCCTCAATCTTTTTTTGATAGATAAAAGTATGCATTAAAGGCGCCTAAGAGGGGTTGTAAGTTAACCTCCATACGCTACCAGAATACAAAGCGAAGACAAAAAGCGTTTTCCACAAAATTAAGCTCTCCTATGCAATCTGCAAAAGAAAGATTAACAAAGCACTCTTTTGAGCCAAAAATGAAATATCTGAAGTGAAGATCTTTTCATCTTATATATATATATTATTTATTTTTGTATCGTCACAAGTGTGTCAATCCATATCCTTAACTAGTTTGAAATTATCAACTCCTTGTAATTAAATTTGATGTTATATTATTAGATGGACCGTACCAAAGACATATATGGTAATTACTAGATAATTTTTAACATACAGTGAAGAAATTAAGATCTGTATATAATGTGGTATCTGTTGAACTGCTCACAAACTTGAACTAGTTCAAGCCTAAATGTCTTGATGCTTGAGATGACTGGAAAAGCTGGGGTTAGTTTTAAACTAGACTTCTAAAATTTGTTTATAGTCCCAGGAACTGTCACCTAAAAGGGTATTCAATGATGTTGGAATATATGATGACTTATATTGTTTTTGGTAGCAGAAGACAGTGGTTATGTACTGAAGATTGTGTCATGATGCAAGTTACCATTCATGGATTGTATATTGGGGATTGTTGAGAGCATATTTTACAATATATTTACTGCATTTATGCATTCTGGATCACAGCATTAAACATTGGTTATGTTGTACATAGATATTTGGGAAATGTTATTTGACTTCCATGAAGATGGTATCTTTATTCCTTCAAGACTAATTGATGAGTTGAATTAACTGTGCAGGTGCCCATTCCAGTCATGCAAGAGTTGCTGCGCAAAGGCTCAAAATCCATGTCATATACATGGTATGCAAACATTTTGGTGCTTAGGTTGTGGTGATGAATGTGCGAGTTTACTGTATGTGTGTGTTTTGCATGGATGTTCAGATGTTAATCTAAGTTGCAGTACTTGTATGTATGTGCTAGGGCTGTTCAAGAAATCCAGTCGTCTGGTAAACCGGTCTGGACCGAACCGAACTGTGTGGTTTGGTCCAGTTTTGTGCAATACTGGTCCGGTTCCAGTTTGATAAAAGTGACGAACTGTTTATACAGTTCGATTAATGGATTATCCTGGAAAGCCCAGCCTGGCCCCCGCGCGCGCACGCGCACACATGTTATATTACTGTGCTAGGTAGTAGTTGGTGCCTTCTCGTTATCTGTTTCCAAATTCCAAAGGCAGAGCGTTTCTTCATAACCCTCTCTTACAACTCTCCCCATCTCCTTTGTAAATCTCCTCCAGAATTCATTCAAAAAAATAAAAAAAGCTCCCCCAGACTCCATTCACAGACATTAGCCATGGCTTTTCAATGTTCTTTTGTCTTCCTTGATGGTCTTTGTCTCTTCATCTCTTACACGATCTAGCCACCACCGACGACTCTATCTCACCCACTCATACCTCCACCAACTTCTATACTCTGATTGGTAAGCAAGTTTTTGTATTTCTTCAACTTTTTAATTAGGGTTCTTTAGTATCCCTTTTGGATTTTGGTAGGATCTTTTCTACTTTGACTTTCTTTGTAAATAAAAAGAGAATTTGTGACATTCACAACAATAAATTTGATTCAAAATAGTTGTTTTTGATTTAGGGTTTTTATGTTTTTGATTTTGCTGGTTTCTATGTTTTATAAATTAGGAAAGTTCTAGAACCATGAACTGAACCAGAACCAGGCCGAACCAGGCCGGTTTTTCGGTTTGGTTCTGGTCCGGTTCTACAGATTTCAATAGTTTGGTGTGGTTCTCAAAATGCTAGAACCGTTAGATACGGTTTGGGTCCTGGATTTCATCAAAACTGAACAAATCCAAACCATGTGCACCCCTAGTATGTGTCTTGCATGGATGGTTGGATGTTTTAACTGTGCTCATAATCTAAGTTGCAGTAATTGTTAATTATCTTTACAAAGCACTACTTATCCTGTTCAAAGTGTCTAGTTGGTTAAAAGTACCTGGCCTTGCGACCTCTTGTTCCCTCTGTCAGGAGATTTATTCATGAAGGATTAATTGGAGGATCTAAAACTAGAGCTGAGGATGATGACTACTTCAATAGACTTCTCCTCCTCCCCTCCACTACAAAAAAAGTAACCCATTGAGTAGGAGAAGAAAATAAGATTCTTTTTGGCAAGATGGAGACACCTCTTCCTCAATATTGATCGTCCCCAAAGAGAGATGTATGAGAAGGTACTCAGTTTCCCACAAAGTGACATCCACACTAACATATACCTTGTGAGATTGAGGTTCATAATACTTATATCTCTTCTGGTGGTATAACAACTAATAAAGACACCACAAAGCCTTGGGATCAAGTTTTCCACAGGGAAGCCCTGAGAGGAGAGAGAGCCCCTAGAAGAAACTGTAGAGGAATCTTAAATGACATACGGTTAATGAGATAAGTTGCAGTAAGAACAACATCGCCCTAATAGCCTTTAGGGACATTCATAGTAAATGTTGAGAGAGCAAACAAATTGAAGATGATGATTTTTGCGCTTAACAATTCCATTTTGCTTAGGAGTGTCCACACAACTTGTCTGATAAATAATGCAATGCTCATTGGGATTGGCATGAAACCATCTACTAAACTCACCTTCTTAGCTTTATCAACCAATCTACTCAAAACATCAACCATTTTAGTAAACGAAAAGGGATATCCCCTTGTCTAAGACCACCCCTGGCCCTAGTATCTTTGAAACTAGCACCCATTTGCCATTAACTACAACCACTAGGTTACGAAGAAAGACAACCGTGGATCCAATTCCTCCACTTATCTCCAAATCATTTCTTTTAGACAAATTTAAAAGAGAGAATCCAAAATTAGGGTCCTCTCCCTTATTTTCTTGTTTTTATATTCTAATGCAGTTCAAAGCTTAAAAATACCCTTAAAAACTAATGCACCAAGATAACTAGCACCTAAAAGTAACATACAGAACATTCACTATTGAAGGTTAATGGGCTTTTCTTGTTGAAAGCAACTTGTCGGTTTCTAAAGAAGCAGGGCATTAGAATCCGTGGAGGGTTGCTATCTCATTGCATTAGTCAATTTGTAAAGTTTCCATTTAGGAGTGAGTATTAAGAGAGTTTGTAGTCTACCTCCAACATAAGACTGGTTTAGAGATAGCAGTTATTTGGTTTTTTTTTTTATGCAGTTCTTTTACAAGCATGACACTTTTGGGTTGTGATTGCAGTGTTGAAAGCCAATGCAACTTTTCCAGACAAGACGCCATCTTCTAGCTCTTCTTTGTTTGATCAGCAGTCAAATGAGGCATCTCCCTCTGGGTATGTTGTGATCATCAGAGATCTCAGATGACATCTAATTTTACGTATGGCATTTGGAGTTTTACGAGCATGAAAATTGTTTTTCTAAACACCAGAATTGCTTTTCTACCATTGGCTCATGTCTGATGGTGAGAGCTTTCTGAAAATGTGGAAAACGTGATTTTGTTGCTATTGCATCCATATTTTTGTTATGTTAGTAATTGTAATTGTTTAGGAAGTCAATGAAGGGAATGTGTTTATTCACAATTGACCAGGAACGAGCGCGTTGCAAAAATCCCTGAAGTTGACCCTTAAAGGAGGGAGACTCGTTATTGAAATTTTGTTTTATTTCTGTTCTGAATTTCCAACCTTTTTCACTTTGATTTTTAAATTTTTTTATCAGCAACAAAAGAAGAATATCATTTAAATAGAAAACAGACAGTACAAAGACAAAAAGGAGGAGTAGGTAGGTAGGTGTGCTCTAGAGATGGAAAGGAAAAAAAGAACAATAATATTACAAGTTACAACTGACAACTAGCCCTCCAACCATCTATGTTATTGTTTTAATGCTTCTGTCATTTCTTTTAATCATTTCCTAGTAAACTGACATGTTTAACTCGAGTAGACATAAGTTTCAGTTGGTTGGACTGTAAGTGTAGTGCTTAGAAGCAAATTTCAATATTCATCCTTCATCAGTGTTGTTTGTTTCTAAATATTTATTGGGCTTTGTTACAGGAACTCACATAGATTTACTTCCCTTCGGCAACTCTCTAACAATTTTGCCCAATTCAATAATTTGCAAAGCCCACTTCGTTCAAGGAAGCCAATTACCAGAAAGGTATGCCGTGAACACACAATTTGTTCTCATCTCTTATGTAATATTGCGGTTTAAGAGTGCTTATTCTGATCGGGAAGTATTATCAGGAAGCTGCAGTTATAAATGAGTGGAGGTTTCTGAAGTTGAAGGAATACAAAGAGGGAAACATCGAAGCAGAAAACGAAGCTTTCGACCGATACATGCAAAACGTTTGTTTACTGGAGGAGGTGCTTGCTGTGAAATCTATACCGAAAGGGCCTACCCATTGTGGGTCCCCCATCTCGAACCCTAACCCTAATTTTGTCAAAGATGGCACTGGAATGGTAGCAGCAGCGACAAAATTAAAGCTAAGATCAAACCCATATAGGACTGAAAATCTTAGAAAGAGATTACAAGACGTTGTTGATCGGGGACTACGGAAGCTTCGGAGAATCAACTTAAACAATGGAAGCATTGACCCCAACAAGCAAGAAAAGGGAAAACCTAAGCCAGGTGAGTGGGCTTCAGCTTTTAGTGATCTTCTTGATAAGTTGAATAAAGCTCGGAATGAGGAAGATTTGAAATCTTGCTTGGAGATGAAATCTCAGCTCTTTGATCGGTATAGAAGGACAAGTCAAATGGAAACTGATGGTAGTACCGAGGTATCTAAGGAGGAGACGGCCAAAAATGACTTTTCACTCAGAATACAATCGGATTATTCTCTGCCAAAATGGTTTAGCACGGCTAATATAGATCAGGATGCTCTCAATCGTGTTGATGTGCATTTCTCTTCTCTTGAGGGAATAGAGACTCTATAATTCGAAATTAATGTAGATACAGGGTCAGTTTTTGTAGCCATGTTTTAGTTGTCCAAATTAATATAGTGGCCTGTATACCCATGTTGAAAGATCAAATACTTTTTATATGGAAAGTTCCTTAAAACAATGACATGTTCAGTTTTTTTAGGTCTTGAAGCAAGGTAACATTCTGGAGGTAACTTAATTAGGGATTTTTACGGACCAGTCCTATTTTTAACGGTTATTACCCAATAGGTACTTAATGGAGACTCTTTTACCTATAAGTCCTGAACATTTTTGTTTATTTCGTTTTTGCCCTCATGTTTTTATACTCAGATCTGGAGATGAAAAATGAAAAAAAAAAAAGCTCTCTATCTCTCTCTCTCTCTTTGCACATTCCTCCACCAACGACCATCTCTATCTACACCGTTGTCGACCACTGCTGCCTCCACTGTTGTCATTGTCGGTGGCTTCAACTGGCATCTTCTTCCACTTGCACTATTGCTTCCACCGCCACTGACGTCTTTGCCTCCACCGTCATCGACGTCTTCGCCTCCACCTCTACTATTGTTGCCGACCATTGCTGCTTCTACTTACACAGTCGTTGTCACCTCCACCTCTAGATCTAGGATCTAGGCTCTTTACTGTCGGGTCTTCTCTCTCTCTCTCCCTGGGTGTGTGTATATTGGGAAAGATTTCAGTGATAAATATGTTTAAACCAGTGATAAATTTGTTTAAACTAGTAATAAATTTATCACTATTGAATTTTTGTAAATTTATTTTTGTGAATTAGTAAGTGTGTATGTATATGAGTATGAAATTTATCACTGATAACATTTTATCAGTGATAAATTTATCATTTTTAAATTATTGTGAATTAGTAAAGTGTGTGGATGTGTTTTTGTGAATTAGTGAGTGTGTATGTATGTGAGTATGAGAGTGAGAAAGAACAAGTAATTTAAATGGTTTGGTAAATATTGATAACATTTATCGGTGTTTATGTGTTTCTCACAGAGACGGTGGCCGGATGTTAGCTTGCAGTGTTGAGTCTAGGGGTAAAAATGAAAAATACTATTTGATTTTTTTGGGTAAGACTTGTTGAGTAATAAGACCGGTCTTTAACTCTCCCATTTAATTAATATAGGCTTGTTTGGGCCGCGGGTTTAGGTAGGCTTTTATTTATTTATTTATTTTTTTGGTAGAATGACAAATTTCATCAATTTTTGTAAATGATTTTATTAGAATAGAGTCTGAAATCATGGTTGATCAGGTTTGCCTGATTTGCCATTGCTCGACTTGCCAATTTACGTTCAGTACTATGTTTGGATTTAAAATTTGACAAGAGAAAGAAAATAAAAAGAAATTACATTTCTTATAAGTAACCAAAAAAGAAAATTGAATTTTCTGAGGAATGCCTGTTTGTTTTCTTTTTCTTTTTTTTTTTCTTTTTTCTTTCCAGTCTTTAGCTTTCACTTCATTTTCTTTTTCATTTCTCTTTCATTTTTTTTTTAAATTTTTTTTCTAAATTGGACTTCCAATGGGAAATTCAAGGGCTTCAAAATTGTAAGCCTGCTTTGGGCAGGGCCTCTTTAGGCCAAGAAAAAGACTTCCAAGCACAGATGTACTATGCAATACATTATGCTTCCCAAGAAATCCTCATTGGCTACATGGAAAAGCAAAAAAGCTAGCTGGATAGAATTAGAATACATGAAATACATATTTGTTATGAGATTTATTTGAAGTGTGAATTAATTTCAATTATACTGTGTACTTTCTGTATTTTATTACCATGCATAGCATTTCAACATTTCTATTTTAATAGATATTATGGTTGTGTTTGGAACTTCGGTTCATGGAGAAAGAGGAAATGCGAATGGAAAAATAAAAAGAACGGAGAAAATACATCATTCGTTTTTCTCTTTTACTCGCCTTACCCTCCAATCCTTCCACAACTTCAAGATTTGAATATAGCCTATAACTTTACACACTAAAAATTGTATATCCTTATCATGATTTGTCTCCATTCTCTCTATCTCTTATATCAAATTACTTCTCTAACACACAATGAGTTTATAAACTTAACCGTATAATAGAGAAGTGATTTGATACGAAAGAGATAAAAATAAAAAATCTAGTCTCATACCTTATTTTCCAAATGGTTTCCTCCATTAATATATTATTCATTAAAATCATAACTCAGGGTTGGTAGTATATTGTCAAGTGGAAGCAGAATCTTTCCAATTGATTAGCATAATAAACCCCCAAAATAGAGTCTTAACAAATGGGACAACCAAAGACAAACACTTGTGAAAAAAACACTGAAATCATATTGTCTCCTCGCATTGAATCCCAAGTGTTACAAGCCATGTGGAGTGAAAAAATTGGCACAGATGACAACCAAACAGGTCACTTGCACATTATTTAACTTTGAATCAAAGTCACATTAGTTCAGATGGATTGGTGGGTTGCCTTCACACAAAGAGAATCCTATATGGTTTGTGTTGTGTTCTAAAGCCAACACATACACCATTATGACAAAGAAATTCCATCTAAAAAACCATTTTGGCTTTGTGGATTTTCTTAATGGGACAGTGCTTTTTCTTGCTTTATTCTTCATATATACCTCTCAACACAACCAACTTTCTTGGTGGATATCTATCTTTGTAGGCCATTTTCCCTAGAAACAAGGTTGTCCATACTTTGCTCAATTTTTATGGCTCTACTACCCATCTCCTCTCAACATCACCTTTTCAATGAAGGGCCTTTTTGTATTATTATTATTATCAACGCTATTATCATGGGAAGGGGTCTCAACCTATTGATCTCAATCATGATTCTTCCTAGCCAACTTCATCTATTCATTATAGGTTACATTATTGACCCACCAAAATTTTTAGGTGATGGGAATCTAACATCAGAGGCAAAGATAATTGCCAAAGTATGATTTTGATATCGACCGTCTGGATCCCTTGTTTGAGGAAAAAAAAATTATGAACCGCCTGTGAGTGAGATGGATTTATTTTTATTTTTTTCTTGACTTGTATAAGCAAAGCAACCAAAATTTTCTAGCAAAAATGTGTTTTCTAAGACAAAAATACCCTTTGTGCTTTAAATAAAAGAAGCTACCATGAAGAGGCAGACTAACATTATGTTGATTCTCAAAATATCTTGCGATACTTATTAAATAAAGGAAGAATATAAGACAAATGAGAAAAAGAGAAACTAATTACTAATAAGTGAAAACTGTGCTCAATTTCATACCTTTGGATTTCTAGAGGGATGTTTGGGGTTTGAGCTCTAATTTAACTCACTGAGTCACTAACATTCTACCATGTGCTTAAAAAAAAAAAAAAAAAAAAAAGAAAACCATGTCTACCTTGCACTTTTTTACAATTATTTTTCCAAATTTTTTATTTATCTGATATTTTTCATTAAACAAACACTTACTAAAAAGAGAAAACATCACATGGTAATAGTGATTTCCAAACCCACTAAATAGAAAGCAACATACAATATGTCCACATGTGATAGCCATCAAGAAAAGCTTAATTAATTAAATTGGAAGAAAGCATTATCTTCTATGACATCTGTTATTCCTTCTTTTTTTTTTAAAAAAAAAAATAATAATAATTTTAAAGTAATCTCTTTCATGTGTATGCGCAGTGAAGAATCATGGGTTCTCTATAATTGAGCACTAGTGCTTTGAAAATGGTTAATTTGATGCCATTTCTAGTGCCATTGCTTGATGCTTTAATTTTGTACTGTTATGGTAAAGTTTTTCACAAGGTGTCATGGTGTACCTAGTCAAGTGCCACCATATAGACCCACATGTTTCTCCACTCCAATGTAAGAACCAGTAAAAGTAGAGTAGTAATGAGGATGTAACAATAATGATACATGCACAAAAAATTATAAAAATAAAAAATAAAGGAATTAATCACTCCCCTTTTGTACATTATTGTTGGTTCACGCCTTTTTAAAGTAATTCAAAAAACAGTACGAAAGGTTGAGTTCTTTTTATTTTGAGTTTAAAGAAGGATTTGAATGACCAAGTGAGACGAGAAGTTGGGATAATTACAATTTAATCTAATATGTGTACGGTATTTTTGCATGTGTATTTTTTTTATACAACAACTTCTCCCCAGTATTGAAAAAGGAAAATGTTTGGTAGCTCAAATTTTTGTGGCTCAAATGGCTCAAATCTGTCAAAACGACGTCGTTTTACATTCATTTACAATCAAAACGATATCGTTTTGAGTGATTTGAGCCATTTGAGTCACAAAATTTTGAGTTACCTAACATTGTTGATTAAAAAATCAGACTGTTCCACACACAAAGATCATGACACATCATATGGCCTCATTTGTGAATATGTTATTTTAGTATTCTTTTAATTTTTTGGCTAAAATATGTGATAAAAAAATTAGTATGTTTGTAATAACTTTTTACTTTTTTAGGAAAAATATGCAAAAAATAGAAAGAAAATTGAATCTTTGACTTTTTTTGTATAGTTTATTGACTTTTTAATTTTTTTAGTGATTTTTTAATTTTTAGACTAAGAAGTGATATTTTCAAATGAGTACAAGTTTAAAGCATTGCACAAAAACGACATCGTTTGAGTTTTATGAGTTAATTATACGTTTGGTGTGGGTTGAACAGTGAAATGAGAATACCCGATGAGACGTAACCACCTTACATGTTGGATGGTTTTGTTTTTTTTTTGCTTAAATTGAAGAGAAGTCATTACTAACTTTGTTTTGGTCAAATTTCTCAATAGATTTCTATTTGTCTGAGTTAAATTAAAATATCAATTCTTAATGACGTATGAAGGTAGGTCGAGTCGGCAATAAGCTTATGAATGACTTCAAATATTGCACCGCCAAATTAATTAGAACATTATGCATAAGCAAGCTACATGTTTATTTTATTTATTTTGAATCTCTCTTTTCTATCGGGTTGTTGTTTCGACCATTATTGTTAATCTGACCTTCTAATCTAGTCCTCCTCGTGTTTGTGGTGAAAGTGATGTTAAAAAAGAAAGAAGATATTTTAGGATTGTTAGGCAACCTGAGGAGCTTATTATAATAGAAAATGAAGGATATTAATGCATCACACATCACATGCCCTCAACAGCTAGAATATTTGTAAAATTTAGACACATACTCCAA